TTGTGTTTGGTTTGGGGTGTCAAACCAAACATGAGGTATGAGGTGTGTTCGTACTTAAAGTGACGAAATATGCCTCAAACCTCGGTCGCCGACACTCTTGATCCCAACATGATAGAGTGTGTAGCATTCATTTGTTTTCATTGCATTCATTTTACATTGATTTGCAAACTTGGCACCTTTGGCCATCATGCATCGAAATGCGTGATCGGTGGCCCGAGGACCAAGAGCCATGCTCCATTGAGTTCATTGTATGATAGGGAGATTGGCTATGCACACATTGCCTTGAAAATACCTTGCCATGCACTGTCTGTTCTCTGCTGTAGCAAAACCAGTGTTCTGCAGGAAGAAATGGCCGGTCGGCAACTTTCATTGCCGGCCGACTACAAAAATCTAGCTGGTGGTTCCACTTTTGGTCGATAACTGTATTTCAATGGCCAGTGGACTTGAATTATAGCCGGTGACATCCCACGGTGCTATGGGAGTGTTCCAAAGGCATCACAAGTATTTTCACAGTTCTCAGAGGTGCAGAACAGTGTTAACAGAGGCAATAGTGGCATGGCGACGGGTTTCTAAGTAAAGCGAATCGAGCATACATCATCCAAGCATTCCGAGGCGGGGCTGCAGCGACCTCCTTTTGTAACTAATTTGTTAATTAATTTAGGGTTTTGTAATATTTAATTAGCTAGAGTAGTTAATTATTTATTTGTGTTGTATTATTTATTCAGATCCTCTGCAAGATGGCAATGTTGTAATAAGCGTGTGTGCGTGTGATGTATGTCTTCCAACCCCACGTCTTTCTCCCTTTTATTTACTAGCTTATGATGGTTAGTTTAGGGCATGTTTTAATTAGCATACTTATGTTCGCATGTTTGCATTCATTCATCTGTCTTGCATGCACCAGGCTCGGCGCATCATACTAATTGCATAGCATTTCAATTCCGAGTTGAATACATGTTAAGTGTTGCATTTCACATGCCATTGTAGAATAGCCGAGCCTATTTTAGTGGCATTTTGCATGTGTTGCATTAGCCATCTTAACATGAACTAGGATCATGCATGATTACTAACTAGTTTCTTGTTTTGGCTTGGAGTACACTGTGAGTATTTATGCTTTAGCATCTTGCATGTATGTGAGTTTTGCCATGATAGCATGCTTACCATGAGGCTCTGTGCTTATGTGATATAACTTTCTGAATGCCCGTGGGTGAAGGTTGGATTACTTGAATTGGAATAATTCATTGAAATCTGTGTTTTAGCCTACTTGCGAGTAGCAAATTTCAAACCATTTCCAAACAAAACGGATATGCGATGCTTTGTTCCAAATTAGGCGATCTAGTCTATACTTGTGTGTTGTGCGCATCACATACTCTCCCCTTTTGACCTTACCATGTAGGGTAGGATTCACAACTTCCACCACGTTCTCTAGTACCTCTTCTACTTTACCTAATCACTCTGATTAAGACTCAATTTCCATTCCATTCATACTTTCTCACCATCTTCTCCTGATGATGGAAGGGAAGGGTTAAACACAAGAAAATGGTTGACAACACTTGGGTTAATTAATTGACTTAAGTTATATTACAAAGCACATATCAAGCACAAGTAGACATATGTCAATACAGAAGCAGTCATACTGATTGCGTATCCTCCCAGGTAGTTAGAGTTTATAATCAAACCAGTCTGCTGTCAATAAATTCCATCAGTTTTGAAGTACAGTAACACAAAAGCAATCATTCTCTTAGTCAAACAAGTTCATGGTAGTAACGGTAATACCGGAGTAATTAGGGCCCCAAAACTTGAGATAACATAGTAAACTTGTAAAACATGTTGAATTAAGAATTATTTCATAAAATCATGGCCCAAGAGTTTGTTAAAAACTCTCAATTTCAACTTAAAACATGATGAATGTTCATGAACACAACATGCATGGGTTTTCTTGGTCTTGAGCTTACCAAAACATGATTAAACACCACAAAACAACTTGAAACTTGATGATTTCCCCAAATGAAGATGAATTTTAAACATGCAAGAGAGGATTCATGGAAATCATGCTCAATTTGTAAGAAAATGTACATGCATGCATGAATTGCAACTCAAATCTTTATTCTAAGCTCAATACACACCCTTAAACACATAATCTTGAAGAAATCTCATGTTCAATGACTTAGTTACACAATCTAGAGGTTGTAATCTTACCTAGAGTCTTGAATTGCTCTTGTTCTAGCACAATCTTGGTGAATTCAAGCTATAGCCTTCAATTCTTCTTCAATCTCTTCCTTGCTCTCTCTAAAATTGTGTTCCCTCTCTCTCTAAAATGTCTCACCAGATTTTTCCACTCAAGGGAGATGAAACAAATGAGTTCAAATGAGCTTATTAGGCTCATATAAGCTTATGGTGCTAAAACACATTAATTAGAATATTAGGCTAACCAAACACGACTTAACGAATCAGATTGAATCAATTTTTAATAAAATTTTCCATATGGTTCTAAAAATTCCAAATAACACATCGGTGTAGTCAATTTCGGTTTCGAGTGCCGGTAATGCTTTCGATTTACATATTAAAGTGGAATTCCAAACAGATATTTCTATAAGTAACAGATAGAAGGTCAAAATCATACAAAGTGCAGAATAAACACATAATTTATTTTAATCCTCTCATTAACATCATTAAATACGGATTAGTGGCTAATTACGGATAGGGGTTGTTACACGCACAAACTGACCTATACAGTCTGTTAAAAATATATATATGATTTGACTTCTCTCAAGTTGTCATATTAACTTGATGGAGCATTTGCGCCATTCATTTTATATAATACAATGTCCAAACGCTCTCTCAAGTTGAGATACCGATGTTCAATTATTTTGATTTTTGCAAAAATATTCTACTCATTGAGTCATAAAAGGTAAAGTGAAGAGTTTAAGATCATTGAAATCGATCATGAAATAAGCCTACTAAATCTAAATGTTCTTGAAGTGAAATCCACATATATATATATATATATATATGTTGGAAAAATATGATTTTTTTATATGCTTATTTTGGGCTAACTTTGAGCACAAATTTCAGTGGGTCTCACATGTCTTTTGGGGTGGGTCCAAAGAGGTGACGTGTTCCTTGCCGCATGGCAAGTCACACGGTGAAGACGGTTCGTCAAAACCATTTATGAGTGAATGGAAAGTTGACGTCATTTTCGGATTCGTGGAATGGACAATTAAAGAAGTAAAATGTGGGTTTCCTTAAAATGGTTATCCTACATTGAAACTTGAATAGAGCTTGTATGTGTTTATAAGCTCTAGGTGGACAAACTTGGGTTTGGTCTCAAGGGGCATCCTAAGTTTGTAAAAGGGAGGAGTTATGGACAAAGTGGGTTTTGGTTCAAACCACCACACACGCGCGCTGCCGTCGGCTGAGCCGAGCTGGGCGCGGGTGTGGGTCGGGTCGGTCCTAACATTAATGTTTTGGACAAAATTTATTTGAATTTTTTCTAAAAATTCTTGTGGGAAAATTATTTTTTCTAGACGAAATTAATTCAAATTTTTATGTCAAATTTGAATTCAAATTTTTTTGTCCAAGATTGTGCCTCTTCCAGTTCGAAATTCCCAATAGATTAAACTGTTCTAAACATATTGAAAACTGCCAGCAGTTTCGGACAGATTCGAACTAATTTTCTAGCAGATCTGTTCAAATTTGAATTGCACTCGTTCAATTCAAAAATAGATCTGTTCATTTTAATTTGTACTTGTTCGGACAGTCACTTCTATGCCTATAAATACTAGAAGTTTTTCAGCATTTGGACATTCCGAAAATCTTTTTTCTGGCCTTCCTCTGTGCTCTCTTGCATATATATTCTATATATTATTTTAGGAAAATTTGTGAGAGTATAAAATACAGGTTTTGGTCGCCATATAGATTGTTTGGAGTGCTACTACAATCTATGTAAAGATCATTGTATCTTGGGAGATAGACGCCATTTATCCGTAAGTATCGAAGTAGGGCGAATCTATCTTAAGGATAAAGTGTCAGATACTCGACTTGATCAATTTTGTACCTTTTCATTTTGATAAATAATTTTTGTAATTAATTTATTTTTATTTGTTTGATTTGGTTTCAAGTTTTTTATTTTACACAGAAGATTATTCCAACAATATATATGTACTAGCAGTCCGCACACGTGATGAGTGTGCAACTATAAAAAATATTATAAGAACATTGACAAAGCGAAATGCATACATAGTATGTGTTGCCCAAGTGATAAGTGCTTTATTTATGAAATCCATGATATTGGTTTTGAATCTCATCCCTCTCTTAATATAATTTTTATATAAATACCAATTATAGGGATATTTTGAAAAAAATCTAAAATACTAAGCATAAACATAAACATTTTAAAGAAATTTTAAAAAATGAGACATCAACATAAACACCAACTATAAAGGCATTTTAACAAAATTCAAAACATGAGACATCTAACACCAACTATAAAGGCATTTTAAGAAAATTAAAAATATAAAACGTCAACACCATAAGAGTTTTCATATAGTATAGAAAATAAATAGATTTTGAGAAATGAGTATGTGAAAATGTAATTTATTTTATGAAAAAATGGTATAAATAAAGGCAATTTTTATGGTATAACCTCTTCTAGGGTGTGTACTATATGCACCTTTAGTTATGATTTTTGTGTTCTTCATTATGATTTATTGTGTTGTTAATAATGACATATTGTAATCTTAATTATGATATTATTTTGGTTATGATTTAAGGAGGTTTTTTTTTTATAAATATTCTAAAAAAAAAAATTATTTAGAGAATTGACCCACTTTTCAAACTATTTGGAAAAGTAGCCTGGTTTTTGAAATCGCATTTTGAAAATGCACTTTTAAATTGAAATTGCATTTTCAACATGTAATTTCAATGATGACATGGACTACCACCGTGGCAAATTGCAATTATGTGTTGTAAATGCAATTTCATTGAAACCGTGAGTTGAAAATGAAATTTCAATGAAGTATACATGAGTGTGAACTTTGAAAATCCAAAGAGGAGAAACCCTATTCAGAGAAACCATTTGAAAATCAAAATTGGAGGAACCCTCCTATTCCTCTCTCGATCTTGACTCGATTCCTTGCCATTTGGTCCGCCGGCGGCTTTGACGTTGTGCAATAGCTCGCTCGCGGATGATTGAAGGTTTCTCTTCTCCATCTTATGCTCAGTTTGGCAGCGAACGACTTCAACTTCTCAGTTCTCAGTCTCAGTCCGACGGTGAAGCTCGAGCTATCAGGTAACTGCTTTATTTTATAGTGTACTTTTGATATGGGTCTAGCTTTATTTATTAGTTTTTTCCTTGCTTTCACAGTTTTTTTTTACTACTTTTGTAATCTAGTTCAATCCAAATTAGTTGTGATAAAAAATTCTCTGTTTCTCGTTTTCTTGTTATTATCATAATCCAAACAAAGCGTTGTAAATAAACAGAGGCAGAAAATTGAAGAGAAGATCACCAAAATACTACCAATAATTTGTCAAATAATATATTAGAGAGAAACTGAAATTTATTACTAAACTCATGAGTCACGGGCAACATCATCTAACATCAAATAAACATAAAAGTTTTTTTAAAAAATTAAAATTAAAAATATGCAACACATATATGCATAATAGTGCAATAGGAAACAAAAACAATTAGATTTGGGGATTTCCTTACCAGCCATGTTTTGAGAAGCAGGAGATGAAGATGGGTTTCTATACAATAAGAACAAAGCAATGCCTAGAAGAACATAGAGAGTAGATACCTTGTGCTGAATCTTCACAAATACATTCAACAACCTAAACCAATGAACATATATATAGTTAAATTAAAACAATATATATATATATATATATAAAATAATAATAATAATAATAATAATCTTGATTCTTGGTGTATTCAATTGGAAATATGCAAAAACAAATATAAATAAATAAGGAACTGAGCTATAGAAGTCAACAATCTCTGTTTGAAGGGAATGAAGTTTAAATTATCAGTTGAATTGACAATTTTACCAGGGGTAAGATTAAGGGTTGACTTGTTTTTTTTTCTTCTCATTTTAACATCGGTAAATTAGCTAGGTACAACAACAAATTGAAAAAATTGAGACTTTGAATGATAAAAATCTAATGGTGATATGTGCTTTGAAGAATACATGATCATGACAATTAAAATAAGAGTTAATTCAGAGAAAATGTGTGTGTATGTGTGTCTAACAAAGAGAGAACTGGCCACTCAAGTTGTTTTCTTCCAATATATCGTTTTCTCTTCGCCTTCGTGTTGTGACCTATTTGGGTACATTTGTTAATTTTTTTTTATAATTTTAATTGGAAATTGATAATATTGAACCTAGATGCATATTTAGATTATGTGTATCTAAAAAATAAAAATAAAAATAAAAATTGACTAAAAGATTTTTTTAAAAATCACTAAAAATAAAGTATTACTATATATCTTATGTGGGTTTGTCATACATATTAAGGTGCACTTTCTTAGTCATTGGGAAATTGTTTTTATCCACTGGTTTTGGGAGTCTAACATAGTTTGATTCCTATCTCTATATTCGTTAATATCAGCATATATTCATAGCTTTTTTAGGTGGGCGGACAGATACTAATATGTGGCTAATTTTTGTTGGTATACAATTGACAGACCATTTGATTTGTTTGTTTCTTGAGGTCGGTTTGGTTGTAGTTCAATTGTGTTGGTTTTAGCATTTTCATTTTGATAAGTTTGACTGAAGTCTTTAAGTGTTTAAAAAAGGTTTAATCATAAAAAGGTTAATTAGAAGAAACATATGAGGAAGATATTTTCAAAAAAGAAGTATGATTTGAAATCAAATAAGATGGTCTTGCAAAGGTTATTGGAATCAAATAAGATGGTCTTGCAAAGGTTACACCGTTGAACATGAGCATTGGATCTATCAAAGTGTTTTGAAAGCATTATTTTTATGATTTTGGTGGAATTTAGTGTTATATTTTTTTATTTCGCGATTTTGGTTGAACAAAGTGTTGTTTTATATATATATATATATATATATATATTTTCTTTATGTTTATCTTAGATTCCGCTTATAGAATAACTTACTGCTTGGAATAAGTTGCAGCAGAGAAATGGAATTTAAGTACGAAAAAGATAAACACAGACAAATAGTTTAGCCCTCTTGGATACGGACCAAATCTGTAAAGATGATATATCAATAAAACCCTAGGTGAGCAGCGATTATAGGATCCAAATGGGCCTAGGGTGAAATGGAAGTGGAGGATTTGAGTCTGACATTTTGTGAATGGGTTTATTATGCAACAATCTGGGTCAAATCAGCTAATAATATTAGTAATGATAATATATTTTTTTTCCAGCCTGAAATGGCATATTCAAAATGCAATTTCATGGTGAAACTGCATTTTGAAGATGCCATTTCATATCACTTGACTTACTGATATATAGATGTTGGTCATGTCAATCTAAAATTGCAAGTTGAAGATACGATTTCACCACAAAATCGTATTTTTGAACCTGCAATTTTAAAAAGTGAGTTAGTTTGAGAAATAGTTTGACAAGTTGGTTATTTACATGAATAGTTTAACTTTTTGGAATATTTACATAAAAAAAAAAATTGCTGATTTGGAATTTTGAGATTGTGTAACATTTAGTTTTTGTAGTTCACATAAAATGGAATTTTCGGCTTTCTATAATGGAATTGACTATCTTTGCAAATTATTTCACTTTTGGAATCGCATATTAATAATGTGATTTAAAATTGAAATTGCATCTTGAAGCTGCGATTTCAGTACAAAATTGTATTAACTCTTAAAAAAACTCCAACTATAAAGGCATTTTGGTGATATTTGGTGATGCCTTGCACACACACACACACACACACCCCATTGTACTGTTCCATACATGTTTTTTTTATAATTGCCTAACTATTAAGACTTGAACCCACCCCTATGGATTAAGGTCATAACCGGCTAGTAATCATGAGATTACTTACGGCCTCAAACCTGATTAAACATGTCTCAATAGAAATAAAGGGGCCAAAACGGAAGCAGACTTAAAAATTTTATCCAATGAGCTGTGCTTATACGGCATAGCAAAATCATTTCAAAAGCATTCCATAATAACTCACACATATAATAGATTTAACATCTTGTACATCCAGTAACTCTCAGTATGTAGCCAGCCAAACAAAAGTCTATATACATAGGTGATCTAACATATTCACCAAGGTAGCAAAAGGGGTAAACAAAAGAACAAAAACAAAGTCTCGTGCATGAGACGTTCGGGTTGACTTCACAAAAACTTAGATTTCTCTCACATCCTTCATTGAGGTTCACTGAGGCTGGGTTTGGACATCTCTTTGCTCACCTACATACATATAAATAAGAGTGAGCCAAAGCCCAGTGAATAAAACCAAAGTAAAGAGGTTATATGAATGAAATTCTCTAATAGGTAGTATCCTTGTCAAACACATCAAACGGCCTTAGGCCCATTCATATTCTTGTCAAATGTGTCAAACGGCCTCATGCTTAAACATATCAAACGGCCTCTGGCCCAATTCATTCATATCAAACAGCCTCGGGCCCAATTCATTTATGTCAAACGGCCTCGGGCATTTTTTTAAAATATTCATGGGTATGCGCATTTCACATTCGTGATCATAATCATGTTCATAGTCAGACAACCTTAGGCCCAATGCATTTGTATTCAGACGACCTTAGGCCTATTAATGTCCTTATCAAATATATCAAATGACCTTAGGCCCAAGTATGACAAATGGCCTCGGGCCCAAATAAAATATATCAGATGGCCTTGGGCCCAATTCATGTTCTTCACAGACCTTTTACAAAAATTTTGCATATAGAATACTCATTCATAATTCAAACCAACAAATCCACGGAACTTATACAGAAGTAGCAATTGGAAAGTAACATACTTGAAAATATCTTTACTAAGATATTACTCACAATGTTCCGTCGATAGATTTGCCCTCGTGCTTGACCCTACACATTTCATAACACATTGGGTCACAAACAATTCAATCCGTTCTTAACTTATTATTTCTCTTAGGCCTTTTTCTTATCTCTTTTGTTCATTTACAATGTTCAATTCATGCCTAAGAGTGCTTAGAAATGAAAGAGAACAGAAAATGAAACGTAAAACAACTTTTCAAAATTTATGAAATAGGACCCTTCACTCGAGCGCAGCTTTGGTCACTCGAGCGGCCTGTAAAACTTTGTAAAAGTACTGGTTGTGTGCATTTTACGCTCGAGCGAGACTTCTGACGCTCGAGCGAGGAGCCTTGCAAAACATGGTTCGCTTGAGTGCAAGATTTGTCGCTTGAGCTACTATGCAAATCTCTGCAAAACTCTTAAGAGCTTGATTTTTAAGCTCGAGCGAGGCTTTCTTCGCTTGAGTGAACATGTCTAATTCTAGAATTTCCAGAATTCTGTTTGAAGTTCAAATCACAATTCTAAAGGTCCAATTCATGTATAAAACACTCAAATATGCAAGTACACTCCCAAAAACATATATTTGAAGATAACTTGCAACCATAGTTCAAAATTCCATGGGTTTAACAAGTTTCAAACTATAAACTTTATATATACACAATTCATGTTTTGTATCTTGCATAGACAAGCTCCTAGGCTTGAAATTAAGCTTCAATACATGAAAATTCTTACATGCATGTGCCAAACAACCATCAATACAACATGATCAACATGCTTCACATTCAAATATGCAAAATTATGGCTAATTCTTACATACATGTACATATTAACTTCAAATTCATTATAATCAACTCAATTCTTGTTCTTAATTACACATCTTGCTTGAATTCACTTAATTATGAACTTAAACTCATGAGTTTGAGTTCAATTACTCACCTAGGAGCTCCAATCTTCCAAGTTCTAGCTAGTTCTTGAGTTAACCTTCTCAAATTTCATGTTTCTTGTTTAATTCTCCAATTTTTGCCTTCACTCTCTCTCTAGAACCGTCCCTCTCTCTCTCTCTAGAGTTTAATCTCAGCCAGGTTGTAAGAAATGAGCTCAAAGGAATAAACTTAAGTGTATTTACATCACTTATATATGCTTCCCTCATCAATTTTGATTAGGGCTAATTAACTGAGCTTAAATTAATCAATTTAATCTAATTAACTTGGTATGAATCAAATTTTAATTAAATTTCACTGTAGGCTCTAAAAATTACACTAATCACAATGGTACAGTCAATTTCAATTTCTGTAGCCTCTACGGTCTTTAATTTTCAAATTATAGCAATAAATAGGACAGATTTTCCTACGGTAAACATATATAGTTTCAAAAACATAATTAATCACATAATTATCACCAAAAATCACATAAGCACTTAATCACAATCATAATCAAGGGTAATTAACATAACACAAAATAGGGTTATCACACTGACTCATAGATATTTCATGATGCCAAGTATTGCTAGGAAGGTTCTTTCTATATTAGCATCAAACATGCTTTGTAATTAGTTACAATAGTTTACCCTTCTGATATAATGTTGTGTCTGATGTTTCTAATCTTGCTACCAAGGTAATAAAAATATCGCCATCCATTAAATACATAATTCTATGTCATAGTGGAAAAGAATTCATGAAAACAAATTTCATTGAATTGAACTTTGTATAATAGAATAGAATAGATAATAGGATACAAAATAATAAATAAATAAATAAAAATCTGAATTTACGGTTTGAAACCAACAATACAATTAAATAACAAAACATGATAAAAATTGGCCTTAATAGAACATGGACTAAACAACTCATGATCAGTATAATCATCAGCCGTTGTATCCACTTGCATCCCAATTGAGATAACTTGCTTTAACTTTTTTCTTTAAGCTGTACTACAATGAAACTGTCCTTGTATTATATGTGAGTGCACAAAAAGTAGATTATAGAGATAGCAATCTTTTATTTAAATTAGTTATCATAGTTTTTATTAACCTATTTGACTACAATCTTGTTGTGACCCATTAATAAAAAGATACTATTTATTTTAATTAATTACAAGTTTATTGATTTATATTGTTCACATTTATTGTATGATAAATTTGAACACAATGTTGATGTTTACATGTTTGATATATTATTTGCAGGTTATTGTAGTGATGGACCAGGGTCTAGCTGATCCTACTGTGTTAACGCTACAATAGTCTCACCGATCCTCTTTAGCATGAACTGCCTCGGTATGTATATGTGACACTTCCTTTGCTTTAAATTGTTACATTATATGTCAAGTGAAATTGTATTAATTGTTATGTTATTTTTATACAGGATGATGTTGACTCCGTTATACTTACGTGTCAATGTCGTGAGGCTACGATAACACGTATGGGACGCCCTGATGCACGCATAGTCCTATACTTGTAGCGAGTAGGATTTTCTGGACTCATCCATGTGCCGTTCATACAGTTAGATTGGCATCTTATTACTGCACTAGTAGAGAGGTGGCGATCGGAGACACACATATTTCACTTAACATCTGGAGAGGCAACCATCACATTGCAAGATGTCAGTATCTTATTTGGACTACGGGTTGATGGTAACACTGTTATAGGGAATACTGGTTATGATTGGCTTGCTGTATGCAATCGTCTTCTAGGGACAGTTCCATCTACCAACCAGCTCAAAGGGTCGAGGTTAAACATGATGTGGCTTTCCCAGACTTACGGTAACTTACCCATTGATGCTGATGACGTCACAGTTCAGCGCTATGCTAGAGCATTCATTCTCCAGCTTTTGGGTGGCAGCATTTTTGTAGGCAAATCTGGTAATATGGTGCAATTGATGTTTTTACCTTTACTAGAGAACTTTGATGCTGCTTGGGAATATAGTTAGGAGAGTGCAACACTAGCTTGGTTGTATCGAGAGTTATGTCATGCATCTTGCGAACATATGCATGACATTTCTGGTTTCCTCATCCTTGTTCAAATCTGGGCATAGTATAGATTTCCCCACATTGCTCCGTGTCGTCTTCTTAGACAACCAATAGCGGACGGTCCGCTCATCACACGGTATTAATCATTTATATGTTATTATATTTTAATTTACTATGATTATTTAGACATTATTATAGTAGGGTAATGCACCAATAAATCCTAGATTGTGAACTTATGCACTAATTGGTCCTGAAAGATTTCTTATAGATGAGGAGGTCCTATTATACCCAAAATTACCAATAAGGACAAACGGATTGTAGGGCTGTGTTACAAAGTGATGGACAGTAATGTTATTTTACAATTAACGAAATTACAAAATTGGGTAGCATTCATTCCCTTTCTGGTCGGTGTTGAAGCTGTGGAAATGGAAAGATTTTGGTAATCAACGTTAATGGTTTGAACATTGGGTTTTTGGTAATGGAAATTGTAGTGTGACGTTTACGTCCCCGAAAATGAAGGAAGTAAACCCTAGTCGTAGATGTGGAAAACCCTAAAACATCATTTGGTGCCTTCGATTCGGTAGTTGTGTGTAGGATTTGTGAAGTGAAGGGTTAATCGAACGGTGCTTGGTGAACGGCATTTGCAATATCCTATTTTGGTGCGAAAACATTTCGTGAAGGTGTGTGAAGTTGGAACAACGTAACATGGTGAAGAATCAATCAGGTATCTATTTTGTGATGTTGTTTGTGTTTGCAAATTGAAATGTTTCACTGTTGTATTTGTTACTCTGTTTTGCGGAATGGTTTGATGTTTGTGTAGTTTGATTTGTAATGTCGTTTGATGTGGACAAAGTGTGTACACCGAAATGAATTGAATGTTGAAAATCAAATAGTAGTTGGCATTTTATTGGTGTGGGAATGTATGATCTATCTGATGTTGGTGTTGCGAAGTTTAATGCGTGCCGTGGTGTGTGTGCTTTTTTGTGAATTTTGGAATGGTGGTTGTAGGGGGTAATGTTATGTTCATTGTTACATATGTATGTGTATTGAAATTAGGTATTTGGGTACATCAGTAATGTAATGTTCATTGTTATGTATGTGTGTGATTTAGTTGTTAAATGTGTTGGCTTGGGTTCGAACACATTTGTCCTTGGAGTATGTGTGTTTTGGTGGCGGGGATGTATGTTAACATTGTAGGCGATAAGTGTGTGACATTGGCAAGGATGGTGATTGGCTGCATTGTGTGTTTTTGTTTGTTAGGTTGAATGGTAATTCCTTGTTTTGGGAAAAAGTAAGGACACATTACCCCATCTCTCCAGTCCACGTTGAGAGTAAATGTGCTGTTAGTAAGTTTGTTTAACGCTCAAGGGCAGGTGTTGTAGCGTGTGTTTTTACTGGTGTTGCAGCGTGCGTGTGTGTGCATTTTGTACCATCATCTATACCTGTCACACAACATATTTGCGAAACCCATTACCCCAAGAAAATGTATAAAGATAATGGAAATGGTCCAAACCTACACCAGACGCCCCTCATCAATATACAAAAAAATAAACCCATTACACCACACTTTTGTATAAAAGAAAAATGAAAATATTACAAGACAAAGTCAGACGTGCCAATCAACATACATAAATGAAAACTCCACATACCGCATTCCATGAACAGCCCCCATTAAAAACAGACAAGCAACAGCACACACAAACACAAACCAAGCCACCAACACACCAAAGAAAATGTAGAATCACTTGTTATAATCCAGCAGTCCTCCCCAAAACAAATTCAATAACTAGTGCCAAAAGACCGCCGAAACATTCACGTCAGTCGTTACACACCCAACCAAATGCCAATCCCCACAAACCCTTACAGACGTTGACCTTTAGGTGCATCGAATGTTACAAACGTAAAACCCTTGCACACGTTACCATAGCAACACAACAAACGAATTAGCCACAATAGGAAAATAATATCATAGCAGGGGTATTAATGTAACCTAAACATCAACTAATAAACTTTCCTAAAAAAAGTAGGACTAATTGGAGTATAAAAAAACTCTTAGAACTAAATGGTATAACTTTCTCTCACATAGAATTTATGAGTAAATTTTCCATTATAGTATTGATTAATAATATACTCATTTGTTTAAAATCTTCAGTTGGCGGGATGCATTTAATGTTCGAGAGATTTCCACTCATGTCCTTCGTCAATATCGTTATTCCTTGGACAGACAAACCTTTGCACAGGTAAGCGTTCTGTTTATGTTTTACTGTAGTAAACATGAGTTACTTATATTGCTCAATTTTTTGACTTATACTTATTACTTATGTTATAGATGGTGTAGCGACCTTACAGTACTGAGTTGATTGAGGGGCTTCCACCATATTTTTCGGATGGTGCAGATATATGGCAATCAGTAGTTCCATTGATCTGTTTTTTCATTGTCGAGATGCACCATCCTGATAGCGTACAACGACAATTTGGATTTTGCCAGACTATATCCCACAATTGTGACACTTTCATTGCTCTTTATGACCTCGATTTACGTGGGGACCAAAACTAAAGATTGGGTGAAACATCACAAAGAGTGGATTCAATTATGGGATCAACACCGAACCCGCATTGCTATAGGTGAACCATGGGATGGTAATATGCATGATGATGATCCTTACATGGTATGGTATCTACGTATCACTCGTCGATACATTAGTCGTGCTGCATGTACATTTGATTTCGTGGTACGTATATATATATATATATATATCTATTTTTTTATTTGTCAACATTATTACTCATATTCAATATGGATTTTCAATTTTAACATTTTTGTTATGTTTGTTAGAGTGGTCATTTGGTACAAATATGTAACACATCTCTAGAGGGATCACATATTGGCACACTAACTAGGTCGGCACTTGCAGCTCTTCATGAGCAAGATCGCTTCGCAAGGGTACCTTCACCACAGCCTAACGTTCATGCACATGCAGAGGCAGAACCATCTGATGGGGTAGATAGTGAGACACATGTTGAGAGGGACTTTACCTCAATACCGGACCTCAGATCCATGTTAAATAATTGCAGTCAAACCCCTATCCGCATGGAAGATTTTGGGAATGCAATGATAGAACAACATGAAGAAGGGGTCATACATTCAGAGGAGGGTGTTTCTCATACAGCAACAAGGGTTCTACATTCTGGAGACGGACTGACACAATCACCTGAGAGGGTTCCAGCCTTTACTGATATAGTCACACATAGTGAAGAGAGGGGATTACATGTTGATGAACAACATCTTCAGACCACACATACATTGCATGAGGAGGTCCCAATATCTGCCATTACACAGTTTGAAGAGGGAGGTACTCAGAGCGGAGATGGGATTCCATTGTCTACCAAGAAAGTTACACATTGTGGGGAAGAGAGATCACATGTTGATGAATGAGTACTACCTATTGTGCCTGTGGACCCTGTTCCTCATAGGAGGAAGCGAGGCAGACATCAATCTATTGAGGAGGGTGCCACACAGGTTACAGAACCCCCACGTCGTAAGGAGAGGGTTCCAGCCTTTACCGAGACAGTCACACATAGTGAAAAGAGGGGATCACATGCCGATGAGCAACATCTTCGGACTACACATGCCTCGCACGAGGAGGTCCCAGTATCTGCCATTACAGTCTGAAGAGGGAGGTACTTAGAGCGGAGATGGGATTCCATTGTCTACCGAGAGAGTTACACGTTGTGGGGAAGGGAGATCACATGTTGATGAATGAGTACTACCTATTATGCTTATGGACCCTATTCCTCATAGGAGGAAGCGAGGCAAACATCAAACTACTAAGGAGGGTGTCACACAGGTTGCATAACCCCTACGTCGCAAGAGAACTTACAAAATTAGACATCCTGGATGTGGCACCCATACACCTCCTGCTGCTCGGCACAGACAGTAGTGATGTATAGCATATATTATTTTTGTTACAGTTATAGCTTGTAGTATTTAACGTATAATTAGTATTATAAGTAGGAAGAAAATGTTAAGTTGAATATGGCAGTTTCATGTTTTAATTTTTGATTTTGGGTTCTGTTTTAATGTTGATTTCTTAATTTGGTTTGACTGTAGGTTTGTATTGAGGAAATTAAAGAGGCTAATGGGCTTATTGGGGACACCATCTATGCTGGCAAGTAAGTTATTATTCCCTGATATGATATATCATCTTGTACTTGATGTTTGTTTGTAATTTTATCTTGGCTTTAGGCTGTAACAAATGTGTCTTATTAGAAAAAATTGGTTTCGGAAGTAGTGTTCTTCGTTGATCCACGTATTTACACAACAGGTCATCATTTAACCACATAAAAGCTTTGGCATCTTTTGTATCATTTCTTTTTGGAATGTTGGAAATAGTACATATTTTTTTCCATAATGCAATAGGCGTGCTGTAACAGAGCAATGTGAAACAGATGTGCATGTGATATATCTGGATTTGTAATATACTTTATTTGTTACTTACTTATTTCTGACATTGGTTTTAGTTGAACATGAAGGTGGTTCTATGAATGCCCCATCTGTGAGTGCAGTAGAGGTTGTAAAATCTCGAACTAATGACAATTCTGCTTCTATTATACTTGCCGGATCAGGTCCTTCTTTTGAAGAAGCTATTGAACATGCTGCCTCATGTCACCCTTCCATTTCTCAGGTAGTTCATATCCATTTCATTAGTTTATTATTCTAATGGGGACTATGGATTTAGTGTACAATCTTACTCTTGGCTTCATTTCATTTTGGTCAATGGTTTATATATTGTTTTTGGCTATATAATTTGAACTTAGTTGCTCAGGTAGTTGTATTATTAATTTTTAGTGACACATAATTTTGTTTGTGGTTTGTTTCCCTTCTTGAAGTTTTCTTGCAGAAGTTTGGGCAGATTAACTCACAAAATTCTTAACTTCTCCAAGAGCTTCTCTTCCTTACCAGAGTCGTCATTTTCTTTGGACTTCCTGGTTTAAACCAATCTGTACTTCAAATGTTTAATTTTTGTCCATATCCTACAATCTCTTTCGATGGAATATTTGGGTTTTTGGTTTTGATAGCCTCTATTTACATATTTTTGTAAGGGTCCAAAATGTGTTGTAGGAAACAATTCTGTCATTCAAGTGTTAGGTGATGTGTCATTCAATTTTGTTTCAATTCTTTGGATGGTTTGATTTCAGGATTATGAAATTGGTGCTAAGCTTTGTTTCTTACTTGGTTAGAGTATTTTTAATTTGGGACAATGGGATTTGTATTAATCCAATTATGGTCTATAATTCAGGCAGAGGAAAAGAGGAGACCCTTGCCCAATTACATGGAAAAGGTTCAAAATGATATTAATCAAACTATGTGAGATATTCTATTGGATTGGTTGGTTGAGGCTGCAGAGGAATACAAACTTGTCTCGGACACCCTTTATCTCATTGTATCCTACATTGACAGATTCCTATCTCATCATGCTGTAAGTACGAACAAGCTTCAGCTTCTTGGTGTTTCTTGCATGCTTGTTGCCTCGTATGCTCATGAACCCATCGTATATAGTCTTATTTTTCTTGGTCATTACGTGGGTTGATTCTCTTAATGGTACTCTTTTATAGTTGATAATGCAGCAAATATGAAGAGACCAATCCTCTCTATGTTGAAGATTTTTGCTATATAACCGATAATACTTATACAAAGGAACACTGTATAAGATGGGTACTCCCACAATAATTAATTTTATGAGGTAGGAACACTGTCATTTTGCAATCCTACTATTTCTTTCATTACTACTTATTTTTATAGTGATGTTGTTGCTGCGTTTGCCTTTGTGATTACATTTGAATTATTGTGGAACCAATAACAATTTTCTTGGTGGATTTGCAGAATTTTCACCAGGACTTCTCAAGAGAATTGCAATGTAGGCCATCTTCTTGACGTAGTTGATATTATTATTATTTTATGTTTCTATCTTTTGTTTTTCTTTCTCACTTTGATTGTCTCTGATTCAGTATTTTTTGTCCATTCCAGTTTATCGATTTGCAAATGGGATTTTTGGGTTGTTACCTTGTAGAGTTAAGTTTGTTAGATTATGGATGTCTGTAGTTCTTGCCATCATTGGTTGCTACTTTAGCTATCGTTCTTTCTAGATTCACAGTCGAACCTAAGATACGTCCTTGGGTAAGAACTAGTTCCATTTATTTATTGGTGCAATAGGCTGTTTCCATTGTAGCCTCAATATGTAACTAGACAACCTTGTATGCAAAATTTTCTTCTTGTGCTGAAGATTTAAGCTGGTAGGTTAGTAAATAGGGTACTGAATCTTAAATGGCAACTAGAGAACTCTTTTAGAAATTTTTAGCTAAACTTAATCTGTGAAAATACTGCAAAAAGTTAGGAATCCCTTGGTGACTAACTAAAGATCATCTCAATAATTCTGCTTTGGCTCTGTAAAATAAATGCAGAAGTAAATTTACGTAGGGTAAAATCAATCTCTAGTAAGTTTTATTGGATTTTTTTTTCATTTTGTTTTTATTTATAAACTTATCCATGTATTATTTATACATTTTGCAGAACTTAACATTGAAAAACTACTTAGGTTATAGACCATCAGAATTGAAAGAATGTGTCCTTGCCATTCATGATTTGCAATTGAGTAGTACATGCAGCATAAGGTATCTCATTTTGTATTGGATAATAGTGCACCATCTTCATCTTGTACTGTTGTAGCTTGATGAACTCACAATTTTAGGGCATGTTTGGTTGTATTTTCATTTTTGTTTTTTGGGTTTTTGGAAATAAAAATAGAGTACAAAAAACATTGAATTTACTAATGCTATTAACTTCTAGCACTAATGCTATTTATCAACAAAAACAAAAACAAAAGTTGCAGAAACTTATGGAATTTAGGCCGTGACATTATCTCATTTGTACAAGCAAATAATCTAATTTGAATTTTCTTTTTTTGAACAGTTCAAGTGTGTTACAGCTTTGTCATCTCCCTCACAAATCCCTGTGAGTTATTTCAAGCCCATCTATGAATAAGCATTGATGAGATTTCAGAGCAGTCAACCTCCAATTTTGTAATGAGAACTTGTGGAGTGGAATGGAATTTACTCATTTTAGAGAACTGGTGGAATATCAATGGAAGGCATTGATGGCTTACATGTTAGATTCTTGTTATGTGGTACACATGATCAATAACTCTGGATTTGGAATAGGATGCAGATCTTGTTGGTTATTGCTCTGCTCAGATCTAGTGTTTGTTAGTCCACTATTAGCATGAGACATATACTTGTATACATCAGTAGTGAGAACAAAACATCATTGTTTTCCAAGATTTGCTGTTTTTTAAATTTCTTTTTTTCAAATCTAAGCAGTCCAGTAACTTTTGGATGATGTTCAATTCCACAGCTGAGATAGTGGTTGTGCAAGTCATGACCTTTTGGTATTAGCAATTATGCTTAAATAATAGTTTGGAGATTTAGATGGACGAATTGTTTTACTTTTGTAAAATAATGTTAATCTTTTATCTTTAGTACTTGTGGACTCGTTTGACATAAAGATTATTCTTTACGGGATTAGATATGAATGGAATTATTATAGAATTATGGAATATAAGTTTTACTATGACAAAGAAGAAAAATTAGAAACTAGATTCGTTGGTTGATTCAATTTTGAGTTTAGCACTAACTGAATCAATTCAATCCATGTCCAGACTACCTACTTCCATACTACTACAACGAATCAATTCAACTACGATTTGAAGTACGGTGGTTGGACTTGCAGTCACTTGAAATCGCATGTTCAACATGCAACTTCAATTGAAATCGCATTCTCACCATGCGATTTCACCAGTATGATTTGAAGCGATTGACACTCACTTGAAATTGCACGTTCAACATGCAACTTCAATTGAAATTGCACGTTCAACATGCAACTTCAATTGAAATTGCATGTCCAACATGCAACGTCTCTGCAAATCGCATCCTCAACATGCGATTTCACCACTCCTGGGGATTGCAAGTATGGTTTACCCACTTGAAATCACATGTTCAAAATGCAGCTTTAGTTAAAATCGCATGTTCAAAATGCAACTTCTCATGAAATTGCATTTTCAACATGCGATTTCACCTACCATAAAATTCCCTTATGATACAACGATTTCAAGTACGATTTGCAGTACGATGGTTGCAATATTTTTTCTTTTTATGTTGACTATGGTTTTTTTTATAAATTTCTCTTATAATTTTTTTGTCCTGTGAAACCACATGTTCAAAATGAAACTTCATTTGAAGTTGCATTTTCAATATGTGATTGAAATTGAAGTTGCATGTTGAACATGCGATTTTAAGTTAAGTTGCATGGTCTAAATGTGATTTCATTGCGATTTCATTGGTAACCTGCAACACTCTTGTCAATGTCAAGTCATGAGGGATTTTCAAAAAATGTTAAAAAATAAATTATACAAACACTGAAATCATATTCTGTTCATTAGTAACATGCAGGATTGTTGTCAATGTCAAATCTTGAGAATTTATTTTTTATTGCTTATTTAACTCTCCAACACAATGGTGAACGCCAAACTCAAACTCTTCAGCTATTCCTTCTACAAATACTATATTTCAACATTTCAAGAGACAAAGTTTCCAAGCCAGTAATCTTTTTCATGAAGATTATATATGTAAAATATTCATTTAACACAAAATCATTTATTTATTTATATATTTATTTTTATGCTAGTTAAGGGTTATATTCTTCAATAACGTTTTGTGTTTGGTGAATTTTTTTTTTTTTTTTTTTTTTTTTTTTTTTTTTTTTTTCCAGTTTCAGTGGAAGGAAAACGATACAATCTTGCAATATACTATAATGGGGGAATAATTAATGATGAGTGTGGAATTGCATACAAGGGTCCTAATCCAAAATGGGTATGAGTTAATTGAAATATTTCGTTTATTGATCTCCATAATCGATTAATCAAGGCTACAGGGATACACCACAATGGTGGGAATGTCCTGATTACATACAGATTTCCATTTAGAAGTTACCCTCATGCTGTCTACTACATATCACTTACAATCACAGATGATGATGGTGTTGAGGGTATATTTGATCTAATTGACTCAACTCTTGGTTACAACATTGCTAAGTTATATATCACTGTGGAGCCTATCTATCACGATCCAAACTTGGTACCCAAAGGTTTGACGTCGCAACAATTTATTTTTTATTCGCGGTGCTAAAATTAATTAAATATTTTAGGGTGTTATACCATTAATGTTTTTCCTTATACTAATGTTAATATTGATGTGCTAGGTACAAGTGAACAGACTTCCATGGATGTGTATTCCCCAATCAATACACATGACTATCAGTTCGAACCTACGTACTTTGAATAATCTGGTCATGACTCCCATAGTGATCATTTCGAACCTACATACATTGTACCTACCGGTGTTAACTTTGATGGGGTAAAAGATATTCAACCATGGTCCACCAATGAAATGTGTGCAACAACCACATGTGTTGTACAAGAAATGATTGCAAATGACATCCACGTCTCAGCGGATGATGGTTTGGACCCTGAAGATGACGATGCGGATGAAAGAGTTGGTCTATCAACTAAAGGGGGATAGACTGTTTTTGGTGCTTTTCACCAAGCCCCATCTCCAATGTTTACTGAGGATACACGGTCAAATGTTAATAATCCGTCCATACCGTTGGCAGTTGATGTCACTGGGATATGGAACACAACAAAGGAGTTAAGCAAAGGGCTATTGTTTCAAAACAAGGAAGACTTACAGATTGCAGTAAACCGTTATGGCGTGATGAGAAACACTTACCATGTAATGGTGAAGCCAACAACAAACTTGTGGAAATTGCGTTGCAAAAATGGGTGCGAGTGGAAGCTTAGAGCATGTAAGCGTGTCAAACATGGTTTATTTGAGATTACCAAATATGAAGGACCTCACACATGTGTATCTGCAATGCTTACACAAGATCATGCAATGTTGAGCAAAAAGTTAATTGAGCACGAAGTACGAGAGCTTGTAAAGGTGGATCCATCAATCAAGATCTCTATACTGAGAGCTAGTATTAGGCAAAAGTTTGATGGTTTCTTACCGTCTTATAATAAGGCCTGGAATGCAAAGCAAAAAGCCATTGCAAATATGTTTGGGGATTGGAATGAATCATACCACATCTTACCAAAATGGATGATGGCTATGATGGATTCTAATCTAGGAACTATCGTTTCATGGAAAACAATGTCGTCCGATGTTGCAAATAACGTTATATTCGAATGAGTGTTCTGGACATTCAGTTCTTCTATCGAGGGTTTCAAACATTACAGGCCAGTCATCAGCATAGATAGAACCTTTCTAACTGGAAAATATAAAGGTAAGTTATTAATTACAGTTTCATGGGATGCAAATAATCATGTATTTCCAGTTACCTTTGCCATTGTGAAGGAGGAGAGACTAGATACTTGGTAATGGTTTCTAACATACATTAGGGAGTACGTGACACAACGGATTGGCCTCTGTCTTTTATCTGACAAACATGGAGGAATCTTATCATCTGTGAATTGTTCACGTTGGTGGCAACATCCAAATGATTATCATCGTTACTACATTCTCCATCTTGCTAGCAATTACCATGCAAAGTACAACAATGCGATATTGTGAGACATGATCACTTCGGCAGCTTATGAGAATCAAAAAAAGAAGTTTGATCAGAAAATGAAGTCAATAAGAGACTTAAATTCCAAAGCTGCGGATGAACTTGATCGCATGCCACTTGAACTGTGGGTGCTAGCACATTATGGTGGCAAACATTATAGAGCTATAACTACCAACCTTTCTGAAAGCTTCAATGGAGTATTAAAAGGGTGCATGACATCTTCCTATCACATCATTGGTACAACTAACTTTTTATAAATGTGTTAGTTATTTTCAGGAACGATGTAACAAGGCCAATTTTGAAATTCATGCCGGTGAAGTTTACAATGCTTATGCAAAAAAGATGCTCACCAAATGGGAGAAAAAGTCCAGGGGTCATTCAGTGCAGAGTTTCAATATGAATTTGGGTATTTTTGATGTTCAAACTGCAGTGAACCCCTTATATTCGAATCCGGGTTTGCATCTTCATGTGGTCAACTTGATGGAAAGAACATGTGACTGTAAAAAATGATAGAATTATAAAATTCCATGTTCTCATGTCATTGCAGTATGTAAATTTGCTAGCCTTGACCACCTACAATATGTTGATGAATGTTACGCACTGAAAGCACAAATGACATGTTATCAACACTCATTCAATCTTGTAGTTGATGCTGCTTATTGGTGAAAGCCTAACTTTCCAAAACTCCATCCTAATCTGAACCTTGCTAGGACTCATGGTTGTCCAAGGACAACACGACTTCAAAATGCTATGGATTGGAGTGAGTCTCAAACCAAACAAAATTGTGGATTGTGTGGGTAATAAGGTCATAATCCGAGGAGATGTCCAAATAGCAATGTAACAGCCTCAAGTAGTGGGTGACATAACTAATTATTATCCAAATCGATTGTACCATGTGTTGTATTTAAATATTAAATGCAATGTTATCAATCTTAATTATTTTCTTGCTTGTGTTGTTGCTTGTTGTATTTTGTTCTGCAGAAGCTCTGCTATTTATCAAGTAAAAAATTATTGATAGTTGTCTATTGCTTGTGTTGAGAAGATTAAGTAAGATTTTAGTTAAATCGATGAGGTTGATTGATGACAAGTATATTTGAAAAAGAGTCTTTGCATTACAGAGTGGTTGCCCTATAGAGTGGTCGTCCACCTGCTATGCAAAATGAAAATTTTTTCTTTAGGGATGTCCGCCCAGATATTCGCCCAGATGTCCGGTGGGGTCCCGGTTGTGAAGATGACTTCCGCGGTTGTCGAGTATACTGTTGAGTTGACAACTGGTACGAAGCAAAACTGAACTGCAACAAAACTGGAAAAAAATCCCTTGGTCGGTCGTCCAGCCGGATGTCCCCCCGGCTATTTGGGCTAGATTACTTCGGTTGCTGCTGTGCTGGGCCGTTTTTGGTGCTGACTTGGCCTCTGTCTTGGGCTGAAATTAACACCTATGTAAGCACTATTTTTACAATCCAAAAATATGTTTAGGCTACAAAATTACGTGAAAAATAATGTGATAAAATATAAGATTTCAATATAAAGTTTCAATTCATAAAACATAAAACTCATTTTTATTATAAATTCGTTAATCATATGGATATAAAAATCTCCAATTATTATATCTTTTAATTTTTTTATATTTTCATATCATTTGTATGAATTTTAATCTTTATAATTTTATTAAAATTACAATTATATAAATTATTATATTTTTTGTAAACCTTCAAATGTAATTTAGGCCAGCATTTGAGCTCTCGTTTGGCATGAAGAATTTTGGGATAAAAGACTAAAATAGTTACAGAAAGATAAAAAAATTATACATCT